TCCGCGCCAAACTAACAAACCGTTGATCCAAAATACCAGCGCCTGACAACGAAGCCGCTGACCCTACTGACACCTGCGGGCCCGGTTGCGATGAATTGTCCAATTAGATCCAATCATAGAACTAGACCTTGCGAGCTGACCAATCACATAACCTTAGTTTGACAGCGTCTTGGGGGAACCTCCAAGTGCACAACAAACAATTTGACTCTACTGCAGACGCTACTGTGTTGATCTTTCGTTTAACTTTCGATCGAAAATGGCAAGTTCTAGAATTGGAAACGCCAGTCCTTCAGAATTCCGCCTCGTTTTAACGAAACTAACTGAAGTTCAAAAGAAATTGGACACAACAGATCAATCGTCAGTCATGGCGCAGCTGAGACAAGTGAACGATTCACTTCAAATCGTTGAGGGAAACCAGACCGATATTTCCGATGCCATCCTTAACAAGCTGCAGAGTATCGAGACGCGGATCGAGACCGGTTTCAAAGCCTTGGAGGAGAAGATTGCAGCTTTAGAAAGAAAAGTTGTGGACGGTCCTGCAATCGCAGAGGGAAGCGCTTTCGGAATGCTAACGCCACCAAGTTCTTCAAAGAAAAGAAAAATCGCCCGCCATCCAGATCTCTCGGTGAGTAATCTTAGTCGACAACATATACGTTATTCTTAGTGCATGTTTCTTAGGCAGCTTAGATTAATAGGATGACTTGCTTTCAAAAATTTTGCGGCTTGCCAACCAAACTCGAGAGCTGGTTTTAAAATGCGCGCCATACAAATTTTCGATTTCTCACACCTATTGTTTTTCTTGCCGCATAACCGCCTGTATATATGTTTGACAGACCGCTTGTGTCCTGTTTCAAAGGCGCCGAGGAATCTTTAATAATAATTTCTTCATTGTTCAGTTTGGAAATACATGGAACCCGCACTTTTAATACTAATGAACTGTTATCGTTCACAGCACTATGTTCGTTCAAAGATTGAACAGTTAGGCCTTGCATGGAACACTGACAAGAAGTAAGCCTAAGCTTAATAAATCATGTTTAAAGTTATATAATATAAGCTAAAGTAGAAACAAAAAGTTGTTGAAAAGTAAAAAAAAATGTTTTTTGCTTGAAATGTCTTCCTTTGGATGCTCAAAGAAATTATTTGATGGTGAGCTAGCTGGCTGATTGTGTAGCTTGTTGTAGACATTTGGGGCTGAGCTCTTCATCAGTGGAAGTCAAAAGATGATATGTTGTTGAGAAAGATCTCTGGGCCATGAGAGACATAAAGTAACTTTCTCAACAAAACATCACCTGCTGATCAGACTTCCACTGTTGAATGGCTAAGCCCAAACATTTGGAACAAAAAATTTTTTAATCTGCACTTTATACTTGAGCACAAGAACTCTGTTTTATCCTGTTTTAACTCAAAAGTTATCTTTCGCAGTTAGATTTTCAGATTATTAATGGATGGGATTATTTCAATTTCTTACAGAGAGAATGAACCACCAAACCTAGCAGTAGTAGCCACCATCTTGAAAGAGGTCAAAGAAGTCGAGCAGATTCAAAATGATTCTCTTTGTACAGAAAGAAGAATTCTAGGTATGATTGAATGGGGATTGTTTTGCCAAATAAACACAATTTGTCTTTAACTTTGGGTTGTTTTTTTTTGAGACAAGTGCCCCATCTTGCCTCTTGCTCACTACAACCCTGAAAACTGACAATCTTTTTCATATAACTGATTGTGGCGTACTCACCTTTTCTTTCAGATGCTATTTCTCAAAACTTTGCATCATCAAAGAAACGTAGACGACAGGAAGAAAATGGTACTTACGAGCATTATCAGAGGGAGCAAAAGAAGCGACAAAGAATTAAAAGGGTAAAAAAATTTGTTTGGCTCTCTAACACTCTATTATCTTATCAGCTTGTATGTTTGAGTAAATTTCAAAAGGTTCAAATTCAAGTTTGATCTAAAAACAGGGTAAGGTTCAAATTACACTGTAGATCTGCTGATACAAAACATTTTATGCCGAGAACAACTCTGACCAGTGACACAAGGGCTTTATAAATGTTTTATTGTAGGAATTGCTCACCATTTGGTATTATAAAAACTTATTTCACATCTTCCCTTTTAGAAACTGGATAAGAGACTCAAAGTGGCAAGTGAAGAAGAGAAGAGACAACCAATTTCCGAGGCCCTGCATCCTAGTCTTGTCTCCTCAGACGAGTCTGATGAAGAAGATCCCACATCAATGGTAACAAGGCCCCTTACCTGGAGGACAGAAGAAGTTACCAACTTCTTCCATATACTAGACCAGAGGTATAAGTCTTCCATGACAAATCAGCAAAAGAGGCAGTCAGTGAACAGAAGGGTTGGTAGACCAAGTCATAGAAATAGTAGAGAGATCCCAGAAAAATTGCTCTGGGCCACCACCTAAATTTAATTTTAATTTTAGTATACAGTCACTCAACTCTCTTCCCTAGGACCATCTCTTATGAAGTTGCTACATTTCTACCCAATTATACAGATGATGTAGGTCTACCATCTCCATTCTTTTATTCTGTCTGAATTTAGTTTTTAATTTGACAATTTGCTGATTTCAATTTTCTCACAAGAAACCACCTTAGTTGACAAATGTGAAGTGAGACTTCTGTACAATCATGGTTGATTACAAGAGAGTTTGAAGACTGTAAACATATACATGTATAACATGTAATATCTTGAGCAATTTAAGTAATTGAGCAGCCTACATTTAAGTTATTGTCAGTGGATAGTGAAATCAGTTTCTAGAATATTTTGCCTTCCCTGACCACCATTTGGCACTTATGTCCAGGATTGAATGCAGGTGTTTTTTGGCAAACAATTCACATTATATGAATAGATTTTTGAACATTATCACACTACATTATCACAGAATTGTGCATTTAAGTGAATTTTTATTAGTGAGAAAAATTTATCATGCTCATTTAAAAGAGCCCAAAATCCTTGACATATCTGCTATTTTAGGGGTGGCTGCAATTTTCATTCTTCCTTTTAGAGTTCTCTTGTTCTCCATCAGATGGAGTACTCCAAGATTTTCTCAGTCCAAGTAAATATTTTCTCTTTAAGTTAATATTTTAGAAGTTTCAATGATTTTCAAATTTGGCTCAAACTGTTATAATTAATATATCAGAGTCAAAGATACATGCAGCCTTCACAGTTAAGGTTTAAGAAAATTCTGTGTTTGAATTGCAGCTAGTTGTATTTTTAGTCAATTAAATTTATTCTTCAGTTGCAATTTTCAAACATCAGAAGTTTTTAAAATATATCTAAGGTATAAAATTAAATGTAAGGTGGTATTCTCAGAATGTTGCCTTGATTCCCTCAGCACATGAAGTTCACATAATTATATTTTCTTCAAACCTTGACACTCATTTTTGCAAAATGTTTATAGTTTGTATATATAGACCCACACATAATTTTTCAGACAGTCATCCTTCCAATTTTATAATATCAGTTATACTTTACGGGTTAAGTTTTGCCTCTTGGCTTTAGAGAGAAAAAATGTGTAAAGTGAAATAAGGATGACAAACATGATTGTTATCAGGCTCCGTTTTGGACTGTAACCGTAAACATCATTGTGCATTAATAAACTTGATAAGAATTATTAAAGGAGTGCTAATCCTGTCTGGGAAAGGGAAATAGGACAAAATGCTTTGAGAACCTGCTGTAGAGCTGAGTCCAGGAAGTGAAATTTAACGAACAGTAATTAACCGTGCGGCGGTAAACGCGGGAAAATGCATCCCTTGCACGAATTCACCGTTACAGAAAATACCGGAAAATGCATGCTTTCGACTGGTTAATACCAGTGAACATAACGTTGGAATGCGCAAAATGGCTGTAAATGGCAGAATACATGTTGTTTTCCATAGATTAACCGAACAACAATAAAAGGTAAAACGCCTGAAAATGCGTTTTCACGAAATTTCTCGAATTCACTATTGCGGAAAAACGTTGGAAAATGCATGCTTTCGACTGGATAATTCTTGTGAACATTTCGTTCACCGGGCGTAAAATGGTTGCGAAAAAAAGAAAACATGGCATTTTCTATGCGTTATACGAACTGCAAACTCTGGAAAATATTATGTTTTCCCGTATTTACACACATTAACCTTCCCGGAAAATGCGTGTTTTCAGCTGTTAACTCCGGTGAATACGTTGTTGTTCACTCGGAAAATGCCAATGAACGAAAGGAAAACACGTTGTTTGCCATGTGTTAACCGAGCGGTTAATGCCGGAAAATGAATTGTTTACCTGCATTTACCGCGAAGGAAAACTACCGAATAATGGAACGAATACTGGGATTCACCGATGCGAAAACGCGCAGAAAACGTCGGATTTTCCGTAGGCAAAACACGGGTAAACGATAGTAAATTGCCACGTTTTCCGTAAATTCAACCTTCGTTTTCCGTACGGTGAACGCTTGTTTTTTTGCCGTGCTAGTCATTAAAATCTTGGCGAGGAAAAAACCTACAAATTCATCTCCTTATGATAAATTTTTCTGTAGATAAGAATGTCGTCAGTTACACGTCAAAGTCTCGTTTTCAAGAATGCTGTCTCGTGTACTTCACACAGATTAAAGTGAACGTAAAACAGCGTCTGTTTGATGATTATTCGAACTCGCAAGCGGAGGATTGTTCATATTCTAATGTAACCACCCAGATTACTTATATCTATGTCCCTTTTTCACCCTAATTTCAGCGATGGTTCGTTCTGGAGCAATGGAAAAATAGCACTAGGAAAGGTTAACATCCCGTTCAAAGGAGAAGGGTGCTGCAAATTGACCTTGTATATATTCTAAACCCATCGAGGGCGAGGTACATTAAGATCACCATTTTTGAAAGTTAGAAGGGTTCACGTAAAGCACTTTTTCACCTTTTAGAGAAGGGCCATTGAGTTTTTCGTGGTCATTTCACCTTTTAGAGAAGAGCCATTGAGTTTTTCGTGGTCATTTCGAAAACGTTACAAAATTCCAACGTCACTACGGCAAGAAACGAATTCAAGAGAAATTGCATTAAGAAGCGAAGCTTCTTATGTTGCACGTCGTCATTTTCTGTGTAAAAGATGACTCGCGGTAAAAAATTACGCAAACAAATAAATAAGATTTGAGATTTCAAAAGTTGGTTCAGATACAAGATTACAATTTTGATTTAATTTCAGTGATCTCCGATCATTTGGAATAAAGACAACTTTTTTTTTTTTTCATAGATAACTTATTAACTACCTACAAGAATTATTTATAATCTCTCGCTATATACAATTTATAGTACACATATATTAAAAAGCTGAAGCGGAGGAAAATAAAAATACAAAAACAAATACCTTGCCTCTGAGAAAAACAAAGATATTTACACCTTACACACCAATAACCAAGAGAAGATAATGGAACATTATACTTTCTTGCAATAACTCATCACTGCAATCTTTCGTTAACCTTACAGTTCTAGATCTTAAGCAAATGTTAGTAAGTAAATGATATCTCATTCTAATGCGCTTAATCCTTCCACTGCCATAAGTGACCAAAACAGAATTTCTCCTTAAAGTGTCAATACAATATCAACCAGATAAGTGATGAGAATAAAAAAATATCAAGTTGGGGATAATTCGTTGATCGAATACTAAATTCTCTGATCTAACATTATAAGAACTGTAAGATTGACAGTAAGGAGAATGACAACTTTGTTAAAGAGTTAAAGCGGGGGAAGGCAAGTCGAGGGAGGGGAGGGGGGGGGGAAGGGAAGTAAATCGTAACTGATAGACTCGGTTTGTAATCTCTTCCCAAACCTTTCTGTGCATTATCCATAGCTTCTGATGAAATATATACACAATAAATTCAGTGTGTTGGCTCCAGTTCAGCCATTTCAATAACCTGTGCACAATATGCCGTTGTCCCCGGTCGAGTTCCCGGCTTGGCAGCATTGTCAAATTGTTCTGGTATGACTGCTGGACGCGCACTACACACAAGTTTCTTTAGAAAAATCCTGAAACCCCTCATCTGCACTACGTAGATCACAAAATTTACTGCGCTATTGGAAAATGCTATCACACCACTTGAAAAGCGAATGACGTAATCAGTCTGAAAGTCAATATCGGGTTTTGCAATCATGTTATATGCAGCGTAGCCCATGTAACCGAAATATGGAATTATAAAAGCGAACGTCATTGTTATGAGGAGAACAGTTCCCCGAATTTTGGCTGCCCTTAGTTTTGCCTGCTTGGAGTTGTCCACCTGAATAAAGACCATCATGTTCACTTTTAGCCGTAGGTGTACCTTTCGAACCAGTAAAGTGTTCACTACGATCAGAAAAATGCCCGGAAGATAATACACAAGTGCAGTAAATGATACAAAGGCAATTCGAGCAGGCAAGTACTCTGTATCGTACTTACAAATCACTGTAAAATGTGTTTCATTCAAATCGTGCCTTATTCCAGTAAATGTCGTAGCAGGAAGCAGAACTACTGCAAATCCAGCAAACCAAGCAAGGAAGATCAACTTGCGAACCGCTGTAGCGCTCAAGGTCCGTGGCACTCTCCTCAACGAAAGGTGCTTTTCAATTCCTATTACGACTAAGTTGTAAATAGTAATGACCGGAAAAACAATGTTAAAGTAACGAACTATTTTACAGGCCCAGTGTGTTTGAAAGAGGTCAAAAGATATTTGGATACATGTCAAAGGAAGAGATACCAAAGTGGATAAAATGTCAGAGAGAGCCAAGCTCTTTATGTACAGATTTAGATTTTTTATAAAGCGGCTTGATTGTATTACAGTGGGTTGTTTGTTCTGAGAAAGAAAATGTAAGATTAAGCTTCCTCCAACAAATCCGATAAGAGCCACAGTCACCATTGAGAATACCAGTGCCTGTTTTATCGTGGAGCCTGCTGGCGTGAAAATGTAGATCGAAGGGTTAGGTGCAGAGGTGCCAGAAATGGACCGGTTAGTACTATTGGTGAAAAGTGCAGAAAGATTTTCAGCCATTGATCCTCAAACTCCCTGCAATATTATAATGCATGAGAAATCTAATCATTGGGATAATATACAGTTTTGTGTGATTATGATCAGAAACGAGATCTAATGCAGCATTGAATTTAGCCATTCTTAGATCTACTTTAAATATTCCATGTGATGCGTGGCACGATTTATTAACCAGTCATGCAAATAATCAATTCAAAGTCAGCGTAAATAATAATGTGGATCTGGTGAAGGTCGTAGTAAACATTTGAAGTGGAAATTTTTGTGTAATGCTTTATTTTAGTTTTCGAAGACTCTTATTCAAAAGGAAGCTCAATTGGTTTGCATGCAACTTTTGGCACAATGAAAAATTGGAAAATTTCGTATATCAGGATATTTTGAAAAATTGATGAAATGATGCTTGCAATGCAAGTGGTAATGCTTTTATTTTTTTCTCTCCATTTACTCTCTTTTTCGACAAACATTTCACCAAAATTTCCATCTCAATATCACTAATAAATTTATATAGAAGCGTA